GAAGAATAAAAGCTGATACAAATGGCATCACTGCTTTTTGGGCTTCTTATGTAAGTGTCAGGTGGGTGCAAGTGAGCCTTTTCCCTGAGCGCACAATGAAGCTCTGAGACTGGACATTTCCGAAGAAACCAGTGTTTCTTGAAAGATAAATAAGGTTGCTTCGATGCTGGAGTAGCCCACACTTAACATGTGACTCCTGGCAATACCTAATTTGGGGTTCTAAAACATGAAGCTCAGCAAAAAGAACTTTTTTTTTCATTTCTAATACTTAGAAATTTAAATGGATGTTCACTCATGTCTAATGCCAAGGAAGTCCTCTTTATCCCTTGCTAACACAATTATGGTAAACAAGGAAAAAGCTGTTCTCTGAAACATTTTTAGGTATCACAGTATGAAAAGTTTTAGGGATCCTGAGGAAAATGAGGTTGTTTGGTTTTTTGTTTTTTTTTGTTTTTTGGTTTTTTTTTTGGCTATTTGTTCCCCACATCATACCTAGGTAAGATCTAAGGAATATACTGGGCAATAGAGAGCAGTATGCTTCATTTGTTCTAGTACTTTTACTTCTGACACTTCTCTGCTTTCATTCTTTGACCTATCTCTTCAGCTGAAAATAATCCTCAGGAATCAAAATTTAAAACTGCCAGAATTCTCAAAGTAGCAATGTAGTAGAACTCTGATAAGCACAATTCCTTCATATAGACATGACTATTATCATTTTTATGTATTATATCTTCTGGAATTTAAAAATTATAAGGGAAATGTTTTGATCCTATTATGATCAAGCAGATTTTTCGGCCTATCAATGAAAGTGTCAAAGAAGTGTGTATGCATGTGCCTGTGCATACGCACACACATCCATGCACACACATGCGCGCGCACACGCACCTACTTCAGTTCTTTAAGAAGTTGGTAAGGTATTGTGGGAATGCTTTCTTTTTTCTTTTGTTCCTTTTTTGGCTGGACAAACTTTTGGGTTTCTTTTGTCCTTTTGTTCTGTACCTTCATTTTCCACTGCTTGGAGCAAAGGCTCTCAGTGACTTGCACAGAGTCAGTGTGCCCTGCCCCTTGACAGAAGGCCATCATCCATACAAGGGCTTCTTCAGTTTTCCCCTTTTAAAAAGGTAGTGTTAAAAAACATGTTCTAGTGGGAAAGATCCGGTTTATTTTATAATATTTAAGTATTTGAAATATTTCATAAGAACTAAGCAGCAGAGAGAAAGTTGAGGATGAGGTATCAGTGGTGACTCTACAAATCGAATATTTAGATTTTTGATATGTGATATTTAGGCTTCCTCGCCCATCTCACATTGAAGAGCTTTGAAGAAAAATCCCAGCTTAGTCCAGTGCTTTAATGGACACTCAATCTTTAATCTCAGCACTTGGAGGCTGAAGCAGGAGGATTTTGAGTTCTAAGCCAGTCTGTGTTACATAGTGAGACTATTGTCTCATGGCAACCAAAAAGGAAAGAATAGGAAAAAAAATAACTTTTAAGTATAAATAGACCTTTTTTCCCTTTAAAAAAACAAAACAAAATAAAATAAAAATCCCACTTTATTTTTGCATTTAATTGACTTCAGTCTTAAGGTATAACTTTAGAAAACAAAAGTGCTCAGTGTCATAGCAAGAGTAGTGCTTAGTAACCACAAAGCGCACGTTCCCATTGTCACAGAATGTTCTATTGGACAATATTCCTATTACCTATTGGAGGCATTCTCGTCTGACCTCTCATGCAGTATTAGGAGGACATCACCGAGGTTGTAAGCAATGCATAAATATAATTTAGAACTTGTCATTAAATCCAAAACGCATAAGCATTCTACAGTGTTCAATTTTAAAGTCTTATCCACTGGGACACTGTTTCTATGCACTGAGGGCGTCTCTTTCTCTCTGTTTAAACTTGACACTTGCCCCAGATTTCTTCCTGAGACAAAAGCAAAACCCCACCCAAATATAATATGCTAGTCCACACCAGATCTCATCGCCTAAAAATCTGAATAGTTTGAAATACATAGTCCTTTATTTCAAATTCGTAACTGATTTTAATCAACGCCCCCCTCACCGGTGTGTTAACGTCTCTCCTGTACTGCGGATAGCTAATGACCATTTTTCTCTGTTGCAGGTGAATGCACAATATTTGCAGCTGTTCGTGATTTAATGGCTAATCTTACACTGCCCCCTGGTGGGCATCCATAGACACTATTTTTAAACCAGGAAGGCTGACAAATGAAAAACAACACACACACAAAAAAGGCTGAATTCAGCCATCAATTTTTAAAAGGAAAAGGACTTTTTAAAAAATAAATAAATAAATAAATAAATAAAAACCTTAAAAGCTAAATATTCTAAACTGGCAAAACTTTTCAGGGTGCACTTTCATCAAAAAGACCATCAATCTTTTGTATAGTGAACTTGTATAGTATGTTTAAATGCGACACATTTCAAACTAGGTAACAAATCAGTGTCCACTTGCCAGTAATAGATTTAATATTCTGTTTTATACTATAAAGTAATGAAAATGCCAAACATGTTTATTTAATTGTTTTCTTATGTTTTGGGTATAATGGTCTCTTTTGATTTGGGTTTTTTTTTGTTGTTTTTTTTAAAGCAGGTCTGTCTTTTTTGAATACTGTAAAACTGTGACAAACTTTTTATTGAAGTTGTATTTTAATATGGCCGCTTTGAATCCTTACACAGAAATGTTTTGGGAGCTGTTAAACATATCCCAAAGAAGCAATATTTAATAAAACTAGGATATAAAAGTGACAGTCACTTGTGTGTGTATAAGCTCTCCAGAGTTCTTAGGGCCTCCCTTCATATTTAACCTGGTGGGGCCAGTCAGTTTTTAAATTACATATGTCTGAAATTTGACCAAAAACATTTTTTGTTTTAAGGTTGATGTAGTTTCTTCAGACATTCCTAACTGGTAACTAAATGCTAACATTTAGCACCTCGGTTGTTTTTCAGTATAGGATTTGGGTAAAATGAAAGAACTTTGTCTTTGGAAAGAGACAGTAAGTGATTTATAACGACCAAGGATCCCAAATAATGCAATTATTCTCATGTGTGAAGAAATGGGAACCTTTTATTAGGAAAATGTCATGTAAAGGATACTTCTGCATACAGCATTAACTAGGAAGCAACAACTTGAATGCTCTAGTTTGCATGAGGTTTCAGTGACACTTCTTTATCTTATTTAACTTCTTACCTTCCCCAGCACAATTGGGGTTGTTTGGAGCAATCTTAATTTAATTCATTGTCAGCAAAGCAATAGGATATTTTGCTGGACACAACCTGGTCCAGTCATTTGAAAAGTCCACAGTGCAGGGCCTGTCTAGGGTCCAGTGGAGTTTCTGGCACTGGTACCTCTCAGTAGGATTTCTTTCTAGAGTACTATACTGTCTCTTACAGCCAGTCAGGGACTTTTTAAGCTTTGGTGAATACGATCTGATTTAAATGTCTTCTGATAACTTGATGTTATTTGGAGCAGTTTTTTTTGTTCTATGTTTTTTAATGATAATCATGCTGAGTTATATCTAGCCAATGTAATATGGTCCTTGATGAAATTTTAGATGTTTGTCTGATTCCATTTTAAGGTGATTAACTGAGATTCTATAACTATAACCACCAGATTCTAGTTTTAAGCATCTCATTACAACTGTATCATATGTTCTCAACTTTGCTTGAATCTTTGTTTCCAGTCAGAGTTAAGGCCTTTTTTGTCTTCTGTGTTTCGTTTCTGCCTTCATCTCCTGCTTTTCACCAAACTCTGACACTTTTCCAGAGTAGGTGACTAAACTTTTATTCTTCCTTTAACCTAACCCTTTTCTCCTTCTGTTTTCTCTTCACAGTGGTAATCACATGGGTTTGGCAATCTAAGATGTCTTAATCAGGAATCAGCCCTTTTCCATTGGAAGCTGAATCCTATCTTTCATGTAGAAATCTACATGTATATACAAGAAATGTATTTTTATCTGCAGGATATTGTTTCAAATAATTTTATTAATAGAATTAACTTTTCAGGTATTTTCTCTCTTAAGTGTGGTTTTCGAAATGTTAATTGTATTTTTATACATGATGCATTCAATGGCTACTTTTTCTTAATTATAACACCTTTGAATGCATTGTGTAAATCAAATAAGATAGGATTCAATGAACAGAATTTAATTTTGATTTAAGAGTAAACAAATGAATTTGAATTTTGATATCATGCTTGGTACTTGGAATTGGTATATACTTTATTAAAGCTTGGAAATACTTAGCATTTGAATCGTAACTTTCATCACAAACCATGTCTTTTGCCTCTTTTGTTAACTAGGTTCAGTCAAAGAAACTGGATTCCATAGTGGTTTTTCTCTAATAGGTGGTTTAACTTTAAGGTGTTTTCAATGTGATTTTAGTATTTACAGTAATAAATAAAATTTATACAAGTTTCAGAGAACTACCAACTCTCTAGTTAATTCTGGTGAAGATATTTTGGGTTGTAGTTTTGGTTTAGTATTAGTTTAACCCTGAAAGAAGACACTCGCCCTGATCCACCTTTTTCCTTTTTACATCTGCAGAAATGTCATTTTGAAATGTATAGAAGGCCTTTTAGAGTTAGGAGGAAGGCGATAACTTGATCAGAGCATGGCCAGTTATTAACCACAGGAGTTGAACCTTGTTTAAAGATTAGCCGAGTTAAGGGTAGGCATAAACTTTTGTCTGCCATGTTTTGTTTTTTCTCCAAAAGAAATACCAATTACATTATTTTCTTTTTCTTTTTCTTTTTTTTCTCTTAAAATAAAAAACAAGACAGGGTTGTTTCCGTGTTGCTTAGGCTCACCTTGAACCTTCTAGGTTCGAGTGATTCACCTCTGAGTACTGGGAAGACAGGCATGTCCCACCCTCACTTTCTATTTATTTATTTATTATGAATACAATATTCTATCTGTGTATATGCCTGCAGGCCAGAAGAGGGCACCAGATCTCATTACAGATAGTTGTGAGCCACCATGTGGTTGCTGGGAATTGAACTCAGGACCTTTGGAAGACCAGGCAATGCTCTTAACCTCTGAGCCATCTCTCCAGCCCCCACCCTTACTTTCAAATGTTCTCAATACAAAATGTATACTTTTAAAACTTTTAAGAAAACTTATGAAAAATCAGAAAAGGATAAATGTTAATGTAGATTTCATAGGGTTTTGTTGAAGTTTTCATTTGCTTTGATGGGATAGCTTTGGATGGGTTTAAGATTGAGATTAGTAAGACAAAATTAAGAGATACCTGCCTGCACTGTATTTTGAGTCTTCAGATCACCAGATCTGGTCTTCTGTTTTTTATAAATTGTCCCCACTTCCAACTGGCCAGTGATTTGATAAATTTCTTTGTCCAATAATGTAAACTGATGGCTAAAAGGGCATATTTACGTCACTATAACGTTAGAGCTAGGACTTACCAAGAGCTTACTGTGTGCCAGGCATCATACTAAGTGTTTCCATATATATAAATGTCCCTCACCACACTGTGAGGTAAGTATTAATAACCTCTTACAGATGATAAACAGAGACACAAAGAAGTAAAATAATTTATTAGGATTAAAACTAGAATTAGCTAAGATCAAACCACAAAAACTTGGTAGTTTGAACCCAGAACTAGTGCACCTTAACACTACCTATGCTGTGAGTGTTAGAAAGGCTTCTCTGTTTACAGCCTTCATTCAAGGTCTTTTGATTACACACAATTTCAACATGTTTTCCAAGCTAAAGAACTTCACTAAAAGCATCTAAAACAGTGACTTTTTCTCACATTATATTGATAATCTAATGTATTCTGACAGCTGAAATAACCGAGGTGTACATTTTCTGGAGGCCTCAGCTTGTGACTGTGCAGCCCTCCAAATCCAGGAAACAACGTTATCTACTTTTGTCTCGCCAGGTGCTCCAATTATGGAGCTTCTGGCCCTAGTGTCACTTTAGCACATGCCGGGGAGCACACAACAGAATAGACCTGCGCATCAGTCAGATGGCAGGCACGGTCTCTTGATGTCTGGGATTTTCTCCGGTTGTTCTGTGGTGTTAGAAACTAGCTAATTTTTCTAAAAGAGTCAAAGCGGGAATCCGTACATCAGGAGTGGTTAGAGGGCTAGCAGAATATTTGGGGAAATGAGAAAGTCTAAGGACTTTAATCACAGAGGCTGCATCTGAATGTTTCAAGTCCACAAACCTTAGGTGGTTCCTTTAAGAAGTGGAGGAGCTGCAGCTTCCTGGATGTGGAAGAATGGCCCGCCTCTACCCTCTGTCGCGATTGTGGTACTCTAAGCCACGCCAAGGGTGGGGATAGTTTCTGGGTGGGACTGCGCCTGCGCCGCCTGGAAGCTCCTCCTACGCTTGCGCTGTAGGAACTTCCCAGGGTCCTGCGCGTGCGTACCGCCGCCGGGGGCCCCACCTCTCACAGCTCCGGGCTGAGACATGGTACTGTCGGAACTGGCGGTGCGCCTCAATTGCGCTGAGTACAAAAACTGGGTGAAGGCAGGACACTGCCTGCTGCTGCTGCGCAGCTGTCTGCAGGGCTTCATCCGCCGCGAGGTCCTCTCCTTCCATCGCGGACTGCTCGCTACAGTCCCTGGCCTTGGTCCCCACGCCATCTGCCGCGGTGGTTCCCGGTGCAGCCCGCGCGCCCGCCAGGTAAGCTGCTGGCCCGGGCGGGGCTGGGACAGTTATTACCAGCCTTTCCCCAGTTACTTGAACTTGTTGTCTTTTTCTTCGAGGGGCGGGGCTGCTCCTAGGGTGTTCCTATTTCCGCTGCCCAGCACGCCTGGGTCTTGCCTCATGTCCGCCCCCTGTAGTTTCAGCCTCAGTGTGTGGTGTGCACAGAGTGGAAACGTGAGATCTTGAGGCATCATGTCAACAGAAATGGAGATGTGCATTGGGGAAACTGCCGGCCTGGCCTCTGGCCCGTGGACGCTTGGGAGGTAGCCAAGGTAAGCACTTGCAGCCTGGAGGAAAGCCGAAGGCAGGTCACCTGTTGCCCCAGGGCAGAGGATGGTTTGTGAGTGAAAGCTGAAACTTTAGAAACTATGGGTATAAAGAGATTAGTTGGCCTAGTGTTCTAGTGGTTAAAGGCTGTTAGAGTGGACCCATCCCAGTGCACTAAAATAGAATCTTTTAGCTCTTCCTGCAGGCCTTTGAGCTTTGCTAATTGGAAGCTATAGTAAAGATTGCAATAAGAGATGCTGGTGTAAGACGTATAGTGAAGCCAAGTGCAGTGGCTCATGCCTGTAATTCCACCACTACAGAGGCCGAGGCAGGGTTGTTCAAGTTTGGGGATATCCTAGGCTATGTTGTTTAAGACCTTGTCTCAACGTGATCCAACCAGATTCTCTGAATGTGGCTGGCCCGGAGTCTTTCTGAAAAGCCATTGACAAAGACACCGTGACTTGTTTCCTCTGCATATACTGGAATTTGGGGATCCAGTCTGTTTGGATACTCACCTTCCTGGACCTGGAGGGAGGGGGGAGGAACTTGAACTTCCCACAGGGCAGGAAACCCTGACTGCTCTTAGGGATGGAGAGGGAGTGGGGGGAGTGGGAGGGTGTTGGGAGGAGGGGCTGAAATGGAAACTTGTATAATTTAATAAAATTACTTTCTCATCAAAAAAAAAAAAAGAAAAAAGGAAAAAAAAGACCTTGTCTCAAAAGAAGGGGAAAGAAGGTACAGACCAGGGGACATGGAAGAAGAGATAAGGTGTGCCTTATGGCAGCTCATTGAAAGGCTCATTTTGGCCGTGGAGTGCCTAGCTGAGGTATAAAATTTTATAAGGTAGAACTGTGGTGAGTTATGAGGTAGATATTGTTAGGCCTGTCTTTAGATTTTGGCGCTGTGACTTACTTATTGCCTGGCTGATTGGGAATTTGTTTCGATTTCTTGATGTTTCCTGGAAGCTCAGTAATAAGTGGAGGGACGGGTCAGAAGTAGCTTCCTAACACAAGTTGACTTCAGGAGTTAGTATATGGACAAGCACACAGTTACCAGGTGGAAGGGGGGCATTGCTGGGACTGCAGTTAACATGTTGAGTCTACCTCTGTTCTCTCCCTGTCTTTATCCAGTTACAAGGTCTCATGTAACCCAGGTTGGCCTTGAACTCCTAACCATCCCACTCGCATCTCCCAAGTGTTTTGGACTACATATATGTATTACTATATCCAACAGTCCTTTGAAAATTTCTATTGGGGGCTAGAGAGATGGATCAGCAGTTAAGAGCGGTGGCTGTCCTTCCAGAGGATCTGGATTCAATTTGTAGCATTCAAATAGCAGCTCACAAATGCTCGTAACTCCAGTTCCAGGGTGCACGACACCCTCATACAGTTATACATGTAGGCAAAACACCAGTGCACATAAGTAAAACTTTAAAAGAAAAGTTTCTATTGGGCTGGACTTGGTGATGCCTGCCTGAAATCCCAGCACTGGGGAAGTAGAGGCAGACAGATCTATTGAGTTTAAGGCCAGCCTGGTCTACATGGCTAGACTACATAGGGAGACCCTGTTTCAAAAAAAAAAGAAGAAAGAAAAGTTTTAATCATGTTAATGTGTGAGTGTATGCCACCTGCATTCTGGTGCTTACTAGAGCCAGAAGAAGGAATTGGATCCACTGGAGCTGGTGTAAGAGGTGGTTATGAGTCTCCCAACATGGGTAACTATTCTTCCTCTGGCCTCCTGTTCCTGGAGCTCTCTATTCCTGTCCTTCTGGAAGAACAGTAAGTTCACTTTACCACTGAGCCATCTCTCCAGTCCCATCCACCACCACCACTTTTTATTGCTGCAATAGTGTTTCCAATTTCTGCCTTTCCCTAGAGCATATGGGGAAAAAACCTTTGCCCAGAGAAATAAAACCCTTCCCTTTATTGTGACTGACTTGAACCCATTTGGTCTCTATTATGGCTTTCATAGCTTTGGAGCCCTTCTGAAACCTGTGCCACCTCTCTTGCCAGCCAGCCTTTCCTTTCCTTGGTTGCTGGCCACTTGCAAACCACTAAGTTCAACCTTGTGTATACATTCCCTTTCTGACTCCAGGGTCTCAGTTCCTGGTTTCCCTGACCTGGCATCCTTCATCTACTCTACCTCAGCACCCCATTGTGTACACACAATCCCTGTCCACACAGAAAGGCTAAGAATCTAACTTGGGCTTGCTTTTTCCATTCTTCCTCTAACACTTGACCCTGCTCTTTTGTCTTCCACTGCTTCTAGGTACTGAGTAGTCTCTCTTCTGCTTGATTTTATCACAGTTGCCTAGTTCTCACTGCCCATTGTTATGATAACTCCTTTGCAATTATCTTCATTGTTTTCTTTCTCTGAATCTGCCTGGTCTTACTCAGTCCCAAATGACTCTGGGCTCCCTGCTCTTACTGCCAGCCTTTGCAATACCAGTATGCATATCCTGCAGGAAGCTTTGTGACTGCTTCCTGACTGGATTGTTTTCTTGCAGTGGAACATATCTTTATATCTTTTATTTAGAGCTCTGATTGAGAATAACTTTTTTCTTTTGAGACAGGGTCCTCTGTGTATCCTTAGTTGGCCTAGAAGTCTATGTATATCAGCTGGCCTCAAACTCACAGACTTACCTGCCTCTGCTTCTTGAGTGCTGGAATTAAAGGTGCGGCGTGCCACTACTCCCAAATGAGAGTAATTTTTCATGTGTCTTCTACTCTAGCAGGTGCTCTAGTCCTGTAGCAGGAATGTGCCTTGAGACTCCTATTCTGGTAAAGTTGCCACATCCAGGTGTTAAGTTTGCAGATAGTTTAGGAAAAAATATATTCAGCATTTGTGCGACTTATTTTAGAAGATGCAGATAAAGGCAGGATGGAGCTACAGTGAAGCCTTCCAGTGTGTCTAGTGTCTCAATCCTAAGCTTTCTGTCTACCTCCTGTGTGGGACCTTCTCACCTCACACCATTGACGTCATAATTGCTGATGCTCAGATTTCTTTATACCATATGCTCAGCACAGTGCTTTTTCTATGCCCACTTAACTTCCTCCTCACACCATTCTTTGATGTGTATGAAGATACTTAACCCCTAATGACTGACAGAGACTGAGGGTTAGGTAACTTACTTAAGGCCTTAAGGCAGTAGCCTAGCTGGTGTTTGAACCTGGCTCTATTATATTCCAGGTTATGGTGATGGATTGAAGTTTCTCAAGTTACTAAGGAACTGCCTGCTCTTTAATGACAGGCACTGCAGTTTTACCAAGGAAAGAAGGAGAAAGCATTTATCTTTTTAATATATACCTCTAAGACAGGACAGAAGCTGGTGGTACATAGCTTAAATTTCAGCACTCAGGAGACAGAGAAAGTGAATCTCTTTGAGTTCAAGGCTAGCCTGGTCTACATAGCAAGTTCCAGGACAGCCAGGGATACATAGTGAGACTTGTCTCAAAATAACAAAAAAGACAAGAGGCTGGGCATGGTGGCATCCACCTTTAATCCCAGCACTGAGTGGGCAGGGGCAGTTTGAGGCCACCCTGGTTTTTACATAGTGAGCTTCAAGAAAACCAGTTAGATCAGCTGTATGTAATATTGCAGAGGGATAGTGCAGCCCTTCAATTAGTCCCCTTGCCAAGGCTTAGCATAATATGATCTTTCCAACTTGCATTTTGAACTCGTGATGTTCTAGCTTGAAACTTCAGGGAATAAGAGAACATTAGTCATCAGTTGGGAAATGGAGAAAGAGTTGGAAGACACTCAAGTGACGTACCTCCTCTTACTATAGGCCTTCATGCCTCGAGGACTGGCAGACAAACGAGGACCTGAGGAATGTGATGCGGTTGCTCTTTTAAGTCTCATCAATTGCTGTGATCACTTCGTGGTTGATCGGAAGAAAGTCACAGAGGTAAGAGCTATCAGATTCAGAACTGTCCACTTCATAGTGGTCAATACTGGGAAGGCTGAAATGAAACTCTGATGATAAGTCAGCCATGTAGGCATAGCATAGCAGCACTCAGAACGGCAATGGCAAAGAAAGACTTCAGTCCAAAATTGGCATCTTTAAACAGCTCTTGGGCCTCATGTCATATGTACCTGCTGTAATGTCCAAGAACCTGAATATGAATGTGGTCAAGCACTAACCCTACAGTTCTCTAAAATTAAAGTTTCCTGACAATTTGTTACTGTGCTTGTATAAAGAAAGATATTTAATTGGGGCTGGTTTAATTCATTGTTGTCGTGGGAGGCATGGTGGCATGCAGGCAGACATGATGCTGGAGAAGGAACTGAGAGTCCTACATCTGGATCTGCAGGCAACAGGAAAAGAATGACACTGGGACTGGCTTGAGCTTCTGAAACCTCAAAGCGAACTAGTGACACACTAGTAAGGCCACACCTACTCCAACAAGACCACACCTCCTAATAGTATGAGTCTGTAGGGGGCTGTTTTCTTTCAAGCCACCATAGTACTGTACATGGAACTCAGATTTATCTTCTCTGCTCTGCCATAAACAAGAGCAAAATTGTTTTCTGCATAAAAAATAGGTCTGATATTGAGGAGATGGGTCAGTCAGTAGGCAGGCATGAAGACCTCAGTTCAGATTCCAAGCTCCTATGTAAAAGCTGGGTGTGACAGTGTACATCTGTCACCCTGGTACTGGGGAGAAGGACAGAGATAGGGCTTGCTGGGCAACTTGTCTAGCATAACCAGTATGCTCCAAGTACATTGAGAGACCCTATCTCAAAAAATAAGGTGAAAGATGATGGAGGAAGACAACCTATGTTGGCATTGGACTCTATACAGACACAGGATCATATGCACATACACAAAACAGAAAAACGTTAAAAAAATAATAATAATACAGAGTTAGGTGTGAAACTCAGTGGTAAAGTGCTTGTAAGGCATGCACAAGGCTCTAAATTCCATCCTCATCCCCACAATTACAAACCAAAATAAAACAAACAACGGAAACAACACTGGCCTTCTATAAAATAGCCATGAGATATCAAGTTAGGTAGAACCAAAGAAAATATAAGCACTGATGTGTAATACATGTCAGAGGAGATTGCTCCCTGTCGCAGAACTCCAGAAGATTTTGATTTTCCACTATATCACCAAACAACAACCCTCACTCATTTTTAATTTTGAGGCCCTTGAAAAGAATGTGTAGAAGTCTTGGCTTATTTATAATATTGGTCAAAAGTGATAGTGTTTCAGCAACATGGCAGCAGCTGAAGATAAATTGATGTTAAATCTTCCCCCCCCCCCGCCCGAAATGAAGAGTTAACATAGTGATTGATCTCATCTTCTAGCCAAGAACACAGACGATTTGAATTGTCTTTAAATATGTAGTAGCACCGTTTTTCATAAGCAAAAGTTTATTTTCTTTTCATCATGGTTTCCACATCAAAAAATTTTCCTTTACTCAATGTTCTGGCACTGGATGGGATTTGAAAGATTTTGTGCATTTGTGTGTTGTCTGCTGCAGCCTGAGGTTATATCTGGAGCCAGTATACCTGCTCTTTAGCAGGTTGTTTTAAGTCATTTGGGAGGAAAAATATGCAAAAAAAATTTAAGGAAATAAAAATTTTATCTTAGTTAGGGTCTCTCTTGCTGTGATAGTTGCCATGACTGAGACCAACCTGGGAAGGAAAGGTATTACTTCAGCTTACACTTCCACAGAACAGTCCATCATTGAAGGAAGTCAGAACAAGAACTCAGACAAGGCAGAAATCTGTGGGGTGGGGCAGAAGCTGATTCAGAGGGCATGGAGGAATGCTGCTTATATAACAGGTGGCACCACCCACAGTGAGGTAAATGTACCACAGGCCAATCGATTGGAGGCATTTTATTAGCTGAGGTTACCTTTCCCAAAATGACTCCAGCTTATGTCACAGATATATGCAAAGACATCGAGGGAAAATGATTTTCAGGGCAAAGGATGGAGATTTCTTTGTATTTCTTATTTATTTTCTTCTTGAGACAAGGTGTCACTGTGTGTGCCTTGAACTCATGACTCTCTTGCCTCCCACTGCTGTTATTTCAGCTGCGTACCACCATGACTGTCAACCCTTTTTTTAAAAGAGCAATTAATTTATTTTTTATTTTATGTGTGTGGGTATTGTGTCTGCATGCATAGCTGAGCACCATGTGCTTGTATGCCAGTGGAGGCCAGCAGAGGATGTCAGACTCCATGGACTGGAGAAGCCTTTCTTATCTGCCATGTAAGTGTTGGGAGTCAGGTGCTCTTAACCACTGAGCCATCTCTCCAGGTCCTTCTTTGTATTTCTCTACCTTGATTGTTATTTTTGTGTCAGTGGGTTGAATAATTCTTTAACCCTTGACAGTCTTCTGTACCCAAAATCTGGCTTGTAGACCTACTTTATTTATCTTATCTGAGTTTACAAAATTATTAAGTTTATTTTTTTAATTTTTTGTCATTTATTATATGTATATGAGTATTTTTCCTACATGTGTGTATGTGCACCATGTGTCTACCTGGTGCCTGTGGAGGTCAGAAGAGGGTGTTGTAATTTTAAAAGCAGCACAAGAGAGAAAGACACCATGTGGCAGCTCAGGTGGTGGTGGGGTTATTGGGGGAAGTGAATGGGAAAATGGGGGAGGGGAGAGACCAGTCTCTGGGGACAAGAATGGCAGAGGAGAAGAAAGAGGGAGAAACAGAGACTGAGAGAAACAGAGAGAGATGGGAGATAGACAGGGCCCATCTTTTAAAAGGGAACATAGCCAATGTGGACAGAAGGTGCTTTTAGTGGCTGCAGCTGAAGATGGATCCTGTCAGGACCTCAGGGGCAGCCAGTACAGATGCCTGAATGCTAACAGGGCATCAGATCTCTTGGAGCTAGAGTTACAGAGGTTGTGAGGCTCTGTGTGAGTACTAGGAACTGAACCTAGGTACTTTGAAAGAGCAACAAGTGCCTTTTTTGAGGGAAGGGGTTTTAAAACAGAGTTTCTCTATAGCCCTGCCTGTCCTGGAACTTGCTCAGTAGATTAGGCTGGCCTCAAACTCAGATCCAGCTGCCTCTGCCTCCAAGTGTTGGGATTAAAGGTGTATACCACTAGCGCCTGGCCAAAAAGTACTCTTAACCACCAAGTATTGTATATTTATTTGGTGTGTGTGTAAGTGTGTGTGTGTGTGTGTGTGTGTGTGTGTGTGTGTGTGTGTGTAGATGTGGTCATGTAACTGTAAGAGGACAACTTTCTTTTTTATTTTTGAGACAGGGTTTCTCTGTAGCTTTGGAGCCTGTCCTGGAACTAGCTCTTGTAGACCAGAACTCATGGAGATCTGCTGCCTCTGCCTCCCGAGTGCTGGGATTAAAGGTGTGCACCACCACCACCCGGCGAGGATAACTTTCAAAAGTCAGTTCTTTCCTCCCACCTTGTGGGTCCCAGGGATTGAAGGTTTTCAGGCTTGGCAGTTCCTGCCTAGTTATTTTTAAAACAACTTTTGAATTAGTTGTCAAATCAGAATTTCTATCTTTGAAATAAAAAATAAGATCTGGTGACACTGAGTTCATCCCTCCCATAGCAACAATTCACAAGGTGAGTAAGCTGCTGCTTAAATGGGACATCCATTCTCTACTTCATGCCTGTCCCTCTGCCTTCATTTTCCTACCTGTGTATGAACCAGCTTCACTAAAGTGTCACCTGTCCCTTGAGAACATTTCAGTATGTGACTCAACGAAGATTTCACTGCTTGGTAGATGCTCTCAGGGCAGGCACAAATTAAAGGGGCTAAAGGACTTTATTGTATTGTATGTTATTTTAAATACTTGCTAGATTATGTGATGGTCTCATAAAAGATCCAGCCCCTGTCCTCTAGATACCACACTGGTCATTTTATAGTTTATTAAAGTCTTTCTGTAATTTCTTTTTAGAGCTAAAATATCTCAGTTTACCCTATTAACTTTTAAAAATGTTATGTCTAATTTATTACTATTACATTTATTTGCATTTTTATTAGTACATTTATTTGCTTGTTGAGGAGGAAGAGGGCCTGCACCACTGTACATATAAGGAGGTCAAAGGACAACTTGTTATGAGTTGGTCTTCTTCTGTATTAGTTACTTTTCTATTGCTGTAAACCGAGGCAACATATAAAAAAAAGCATTTAATTGGGCTTGTGGCTCAAGAGGTTCATGATGGTGGAGTAAAAGCATGGCAACAGGAACAGCTGAGCATTCACATGAACTGTTAAGTAGGTGGTAGAGAACATACCGGGAAATGTCTCAAATCTTTTGAAACAACAAAGTCTGACCCTGGCTAGTCTTGTCCTCCAACAATGTGACTTGACAGAGCTTTCTGGAAAGCTCCAAAACAGAGTCTTTCCTGAGCAAGAATTTTTTTGCTTTGTTTTGGTTTTAGTTTTTCAAGACAGAATTTCTCTGTAGCTTTGGAGCCTGTCCTGGAACTAGCTCTTGTAGCCCAGGCTGGCCTCAAACTCACAGAGATCCGCCTGCCTCTGCCTCCTGAGTGCTGAGATTAAAGGCGTGCACCACCACCGCCCGGCAAATTTTTATTTATGTGTTTTTTTATTTGTTTTTGGTATGAGTGCTCCATCTGCATGTACCCCTGCACACAAGAAGAGGGCATCAGATGCCATTATAGATGATTGTGAGCCACCATGTTGCTGGGAATTGAACTCAGATCCTCCAGAAGAGCAGTCAGTGCTCTTAACCACTGAGCCATCTCTCCAGTCCCCCTGGCTAATTCTTATTTTTTTAAATTAACCCATTTCTATTATTTTGTATTTTACCACGAGGTTCATGGCCTACCAGCAAGGTTCCAGCTGGCAGCTTGCATCTTTTTCCTCTGGCGGCTCCATGGCTTCTCACTGACTCTACCTATTCTCTATCTCTTCAAACTTGGCTATGTTCTGTTGAGCCATTGGCTGAAGGCAGCTTCTTTATTAACCAAAAAAAGCAACACATATACAGAAAGACTTCCCATACCAGTTCCCTAACTGGGGAATCAGCTATTCAAACAGGCTCAAACATGAGCCTGTGTGAGGCATTCTCATTCAGTTCATCATATCTTCTACTGTGTGGGTTCCAGGGATTGAATTCAGGCTCTTGGGCTTGGCAACAAACACCTTTACCTGCTAAACCATACCAGCCCAACTCCATTTTTTTTTTCTTTTTCTGTAGGTAATTAAGTGTCGGAATGAGATAATGCACTCTTCAGAGATGAAAGTATCGTCTACATGGCTTCAAAATTTTCAGATAAAGATCCAAAATTTTCTGAATGAATTCAAGAATATTCCAGAGATTGAAGCAGTACATTCCAGAATAGAACAGGTAAAGATACCTCTACTTAAATGAGTGCAGGGATTATGGGCATGCACCACTATGCCCATGTGAAACTTCATTTAACAGTTCTGGTATAGAAACCTAAGGGGTTTAAAATATCCATAGTCTTTTTTGATGTTAAGTCAGGCACGGAGATATATGTAAGTCCCAGCACTTGGTACACTGAGGCAGAAGTATGGCTATTTCAAAGGTAGTATTTATTACTGGGAAGCCTGGGAAGCCTGGTCTACTTAAGAAGTAAGGTGAATTTGATGTTTATTTAAACTAAATATACTTATTATTGTAGCGATACTGATGATAATGCACACACAGATCCTCATTCCCAACAAGCACTCTATACTCTTAGTCTTTATTTTATTCTATTATTATTTGGAGGGCCTATTTGGTGTAGAACCTAGGGCTGGGCCTTCCACATGGCAAGCACTTTCTCACTGAACTACAACCTCAGCCCCAAACTAAGTTTTATAATGTGAACAGAGGAAAAAAAATGCTAGTATAAAATGTGGAAATAGCAGAGGTTTTGTTTTTCTTTAATAACCGTGTGGTTAAAATAGGTCTATCTAGATAATGGTATTTTATTGTAAATCCTTCAAGTTACCCAGTAGAATTTCTTTTCCATTAATATTGTTCATTTATTTTGTGTGTATGTGTCCACATTGATGTGCACAAGTGCATGTGCAAGGACAGCTCTTGGGAGTCTGTTCTCTCCTTTGACCTTAAGAGATCCAAGGATTGAACTAAGGTTGTTAGGCCTGCACTCAATTACAAGCTCTCTATTATTGCAGTCCAAGTGGCTGAGGGTGTGACTTGCTGGTAGTTTTGTTATCTACCAGCAAGCAACATCCTCAGTTAGTCCCTGAGTTCCATCCCCAAAACTGCAAACAGTGATATACATCTTAATAATGAACTTTTAATGTGAGGATGAATCTCTCAGAGAAGTTGGAGGAGTTGGATGTGAATATGATCAAAATATATTGTGTACATTTATGAAATTTCAAAAGAATTCATAAAAGTTATTTTAAAACCTGAAATTTAAAAAGTAATTTGTTCATGTATTTGTGTGGTCACCCCACAGCTGTTGACATCTGACTGGGCTGTTCATGTTCCTGAGGAAGATGAACGAGATGGGTGTGAATTTGAAATAGGAAGTTACTTGAGTATGAGCCAAATCCATGAAATTGAAATGGAATTGCTGAAGGAAAAACTGCAAGATATGTATCTTCAAGCAGCAGAAGAAGAGGTGTTGCCCGAAGAGGTAAGGGAAAGGAGGAAGTGTGAGGAGAAAGAAAGGTGACGGCCAGAGCAGCAATAGTAGCTCGTTTTGACACTGTTGCTGTTGCTGTGATAAACATGATGACCAAAAGCTGCTGGGGGAAGAAAGAGTTAATTTCATCTTATAGCTCAGTTCATACTTCATCACTAAGGGAAGTCAGTGCAGGACCCTGTAATCCCAGCACTCAGAAGGCAGAGGCAGGGGTATGTCTGTGAATTTGAGGCCAGCCTGGTCTACAAAACAAGTTCCAGTACAGTCAGGGCTGTTGCACTGAGAAACCTTGTCTCAAAAAAGAAAAAAAGATAAAAGAAAGAAATAAGATGACTGTAAGATCACCTGTAAAGGAGAGAATGGGATAACTAAGGAAAGATTTAAGAGTATTGACTTTTTAACCTCATACCCTATTGACTTTGAATTTTGTGTCTGTACATTTAATACTGTTTTATAGATGTATCTTCTACCAGTAATACTTGTATAGGCAAAAAAATCTCAAAAATATAAGATAAGCACTTTAAACTTGGGTTTTGAAGCAAAAAAAAAAAAATGAGATGATAAGCAAACACCCCTTACGTAGTCTTAGAATTGGCTATACTGGATTATGTTTAGTTTGAGTGAAAGGTACTTGTTTTGTTTATCTTTATTTACATATCAATACCGGCCTGCCTCAGCCTTCCAAGTGCTGACTTCAAACAGGTACAGCACACCTGGCTGAGTGTGGTTTTGTTTCTATTTTTTTTTTGTCTTGTCTTGTTTTTTAAGACATGCATCTCTGGCTAGCCTGCAACTCACTCTGTAGAACAGGCTGAACTTGAATTCACAGAGATTGACCTGCCTCTGCCTTCACTGTACTGGGACAAAGGTTTGAGCTGCCACACATGACATGAGTTTGCCTTGTTTTAAAGAATTTGTTTTTGGGAAATTTTGAATGGTATTATTTATAAAGCAATAAAAAAGAATTTGTTTTTTATTTGAAGACTTAACTATGTGTGGATGGGTGCCAGTAGCTGATGTTTGTCTTCTGGTAAACATAGAGACAGGAACAGGTTGTTTGTTCAGGGGCATGCTCCTGCTGCTGAGCTCCAGCTCCAGCCTTGTGAGGCAATCTCCATGTTCATGTGAATTGAATTGTGTTGTGAACAGCACCGAATGACACTTTGTACACTTTCCTCTTGCAGCTCTCAAATCGACTGGATGCGGTCAAGGAGTTTTTGAAAAACAACACAGACCTCAGAAATGGCCTTACAGAAGACATGCAGAAGCTAGACAGTTGCCATCTACAGCATCAAAAACAAATTTCAAAGGACACTGAGAGTCAGACACCTGAAAGGAAGGCTTGAGGTGAGCTTAAGTTCAGGATGTTAAAGAGGGACACAATAGCCTCTTCCCTTTGATGTATGTTTTTGTATGTGAAGCCATATTGAACCAAGAGTCTCATTTGCTTTCCTTGTGCCCTTATTCTTCCAAATGAAGGTTAGGTATAGTGATTCACACCTTTAGTCTCAGCATCCGGAAGGCAGAGACAGGTGGATTTCTCTGAGTTCAAGGCCAGTCTTTTCTACATTATCGAGTTCCAGGCCAGCCAAAACTACATAGTGAGACCCCCTTCTTGAAACAGACAAATATAGAAACTTTACCAAGGAAAGGACAGTGGACCAAGAGTTTATTCTCTTATTAATGATTCACATATACCTGTGAAGCCTCAACTCTGCAGACCTAAAGTCAAGGTCTGCTCTTAGGTGACATGGTCAAAAACTACTCTGCCTTCAGATGATACCAGGGTGCCCAGCTTTTACTGTGACATTAATTGTGTTTGGCTAGTTTCCATAAGAAAGATGGTTAACATAACCAGCTTGTTATTGTTTTTCTGCCAAATAATAAAAATGGAAATAATTCTCTTTTATTTTATATTGTCCTTTGAGAAAATTCAGGCATAATGTGAAAGCCAGTCTGACTTCCAGGTCAGGCATCCTCCTTTGCACAAAAGGGAAACATTCCCAAAGTACAGGGGGTTTTGTTGTCCTGGCCTTTCCCACGATGCTTCAGATATTTTTCCCTCATATTCATCACCTTGGAGTTGTGTGTTGTTTGCTGTCAAAAATACTAGTCATGTGTTGTTTTTTGCTTTCATCCAGGGACTTTGTGCTGTTTCTTTTTCTAGCTCTGAACCTTTTTACATGGTAAGGACTAGGTCTCTGTGAGGGAGTGTTCTGCGCCATAGCAGAAGTGTATTGTACTTCTGCCTTTGTCTGAAAATTTTCCTCTGTCAGTGCCAAAATGTGAGCTGGAATGTAGTGTCCAAACAGAAAAATTTTAGTTTATTTTTGCTTCTGATAAAAGGCAAGAGGAAAGTAGCCATTTTCTACCATTTCCCCTGAGTATAGAACTGTTGCTTCTGGACTTGAGTAGCCAGAGGGGTGGCAGGCTAGAAAATAGCTTGGCTGAGCTCTACAGCAAGGGATGAGGCTACTGACCCAGAAAGGATATCTGGAAAAGATTAGTAGGTGTCAGTTTGCTGTGGAGTGGGCATAGATGAGAAGTAAACTCCAGTAACATGAGATGATCTCAGCTACTTGAAAGGCTGCAATGGGGGGATCCGAAGTTCTAGGCCAGCTAGGGCAGCTTACTGAGACCCTATCTCAAAATAAAACAAATCATAAAGAAATGGAGGTGTAGTATGATTGTGGAACATTTATTTACTACGTCAGGCCCTTGAGTCAGTTCTCAGCTTCCTTTCCCCAAAAGACAAAGCAAACTTCCCACAATTCCAGCTTCTCTTAAGTAGTTTTGTCCCCTGTGCCAAGTGCAGGGCCTAGACGTCATGCACTCTGACTATTGGTGGAAATGCTACTTATACTCTTAGCTAAGCTGACTCTTATTCTGTAAAATTAGAAATTTCATCATTCTTTCAGATACTCAAACAAGTCATTCTCTTTTAACACATTCGTAAATTCACAGCTCTACTCCTTCTTTCCCTCTTTGTCCTATTTGTTCTTGAACTGTGCAGAAGCCTTGTACCATTGTATGCAGTATTCTGTGGGAGTCAGATTAACTTTCACCTTTCCCTCCGTCTGCTCATTTCCAAAGGTCAATGGCATTAGACTGCTTCGTGTCACCTTTGGACTTTACTGTATTCCCAAAACTGCCTACAAGAAATGCTCCATGCCAAGGCTCAGCAAAGATGATTTCGCTCCTTTACCTGATCAGCTGCCTGCCCAAGATTGATTCTGCAGAGAATGGGTGGAGAGAGAGACTGTATTTGGCATATATTTTTACTGTAGAACCCAAATGAATGTAAATGTGCCTGCAGCTTGGTTATTTCATTTCCTGGTCGCTGTTTGATTTTCAGTCTTGTGTTTTCTTTCTTCCTTCATTTGTTCTCTCTTCGCAAGTTACTTGAGAAGACTTCAAGAGTAAAACAAGATTTTGCACTTATTTTGCAACTTTGCCAAAGCAAACAAACAAACAAACTAATGAAATATCTCCTCCTTTCTAGATCTGGGGCACAAAACATGAAATCTTGATTCACTAACCCATGAAGACCTGGTTTCTAAGTGTAGAAAGTTTAAGAGCTGAACTTTGCATTCTACACCTGTGTCTAGTTAGTTTGCCTTATCAATCCAACACACAGTTATCAAGTGTCAACCCTGTGCCAGACACTGAAGTAGATAGAAATATAAAAAGTGGTGAAGTCATATCTTACTGTTTTTATCTTCCACTCTGACAAACCAACGGTATTGTTCAGAAAACTTTATACTAGTAACATTTCATTTCATTGAAACAGAAAAGAAAACTCTTCTTTAAAGGGCTCTAAAGCAACCTGTAGGCTTCTCCTCAACAGAACTGTGCACCTGGACACAGGATATGTGCAAATTGATGTTCACCGCAGCATTGATAGCCAACCACTAGTAGAGAGGACCTGCCAAATAAGGCATAGAACATCTGTACTGTGTACTATGCTGCATAACAGTTAGAAAGAATGAGCCCATGCTACTGTACAATAATGTGAATTGCCTATAAAACATCTAAAGTCAAAAAATAGCTGAGAGGGTGGGATGGAACTCAGTGGTAGGGCACTTTCTTGCCCAGCATACATGTTGCCTTGAATTAGATCCCCGCTCCACTGCCAAAAGCAAATAAATAGAAAAGCAAAGTTTTTAATAGCACCTAGCATGCTACAGTGCTGTTTGTATAGTAACTGAGGTCTGGAAAGTCTGTCTTTTGTTTTACGTCTATGAGAGGATTTTGGGTTGCGGAGTAGTCAGAAGAAATTTAACTTTTGTATTTTGTATATCCTTTTTATAATAAATATGTACTTATGTATTTTGAAAGTTCTTATTACAGTTGTTAATTTCGAAACAAGACACATGAATAACATATCTTATTGCAAGTCTTCACTGTCAGATTCCATGTAATTTGTTGTAGCCTCCTTTTTGTGTCTCCACCTCCAGGGGTGCTTCCAAATCCTAGCACCATGGCAAGAAGCCCAGGAAGGGCATTATTGCCTTCTGTCTTGGCTGCCTTCATCTACCTGTGAAATACCTGTCTCCATCCAAAAGTACACTTTGCCCTCAACCTCTCCCTGGGACACGGGTGGTCAATAGTTTTGAAAAATGACTAAGTCATTATAGTTGCACAGATAAGGTGGGTCCTTAGTTTAAACCTTTTTCTTTAGCAGGAAGTTCATAGAACCTGAAGAAAATGTGACAAATTAAACTCTGTAAAAACGCCTGAATTCTAGGAAATGACTTAAGGGGTTGGCCACCTTACTAATGGAAAACTAGCTCTGCTAAATCAGAGAGGGTTGCTGGTTTCTGAAAGCAGTGGGAGAGTGCTGGGGATGGTTTTATATTCCTAAGGGTGGGGAGGATTATGTCTAAGAGGATTGTGAAATGATTGTTACTCTAATACTGTGAAGAATTTGTTTTTATTGACATACTGGTTACTTAACATGGCTTTAAACACTAGTATCCTAGGTGCTAAAGGACCAGCTGTCCTAGGTGGGCATGTTAGAAACTAGGTAAATGAGCTGAGTGCTGCATCAAATTAGAGTGGAGTGTTGCAGTCTTTTAGATCACTTCTCTAGGCATTTGGCCTCTGACGTCTAATTGCACTATTAGAAAATTATCAGCGGAGATTACCTCCTTTCCTTTGCCAGGGTAATTAGAAACTTACCTACTTTGAAAAGCCTTCACTTGACAGTGTCTTTTATTAAAATATATCCAAATTACAAAATACACTTTGTGAGATATGTCTAAAATATAAATTTCTACTCAGGTGAAGTAAAAAACATTCTTTAATGTCTTAACAAAAATCTTAATATAGTTTACTTTAACTTTAAGGACGTGGCTTGTATTATTGCAACATAGTCTGAGTTATCTACACTATTAAGAGCTGCTTTTAATTTCCAGAAACTTCTCAACCCCATGCTCTGTTATATGCACATTAGTGATGAGCTTAGAACTCTATAAACTGAGCCCTTTGTGACAGGTCTTTCCAAGGTAGGTCTCTGTTACTTTCTACTGACTTTCAGAAAAGCAGGACCGTTTTTATTTCAGAACCTGTGTAGCAGGCCAGCCTCACTATCCTTACCTTCTGTATTCCACAGTTAACCAGGGTTGGTTTGTGAACATAGCAGAAGTGATGGTGCATCACTACATGAGTAAGCTATAACAGTAAGGCCCCATCATCCATCCTTTGCAAACACCACTGTGGGGGAAGCCACGCTGTGTCTTTTGGAAATGTCTACAGGAGGACAAGGAACTAAAGCCTGCAAACAATCATGAACCTGGAAATAGGTATCCCAGCCGCAGGCTATGCTTCAGAGACCACAGACACTGTGAGACAGTCTTATTTTAAACTTAAATTATGGAGCAGTCGGTTATACAGCGACAGATAATTGTCAGTTGTCCTGTAATTTATTCCTTACCCTCCACCCTCATATTTAGAATGTGAAAGGGACTTCCTACAAACAAAACTAATGCTTGGATGCTGCATAAGATGAGAACTTTTCCTGGAGTTCCACTGTTGGGCCTGTCTTAGCCGAGAGCCAATGGCGTCAGCACCTCGCTGAAGTGTTTCTAATTCCTTTGCATTTGCAGACTGTCAGAAGCAGGTTCAGCACTTCTGAACATGTGTATTGAGTTTCCCAGAAACCACCTGGGCCTCCTATATTCAGAAGAATCCTGGGCAGGGCAAGTTGTGGATCAAATCCCAGAGGATAGCCTGTCTCTGTGGTTATAATCTCACCCCCAACCTCATCTTCCATCTTTATAAGCTCTCTGGTTTAAGAAATCATTGGCACCCAGTGAATTCTAGAGGATACTCTGAGCACACTGTAGCTGACCAGTGACTCTCACCCACCCCCATCCCTAGCTAGTTTCCAATTCCCAGGGTAGGCCTAATCAATTTGTAAACTGCTGTGATTTTCTATTTTAAAGGATAAATGGAAAGGATTTCTGCATGCTTACCTAAAACTCTAAACTGACAGCCACCATTCTGACAATCATCTTCATTGCAGCTTATATAATTGTTCTAGGCCACCAAGAGACATTAGATTCTTAAGTATTTCAAAATCTAAGCTGGAATTTCGCTTCATTTATTTAAACCTACTTCTGAATGTTTTCCTCTACAGAAACAGTGACCCCCCCCCCCCCTTTGGCGTTAGGGATTTGCCACTGACACCAACACCCTTGTTTGCCCAGGGCACCCAAAAGCCTGCTACCTGGAGAGGTTTGGTTTTGTTTTAGCAAAGCTATGAGTAGACGATGTGGTTTTCCTCCTGTCTTCCTCCCTTGTCTAACCCTGACTACCTGGGAAACTTTTTCCCTTCCATTTCACAAAACAGGCAACAATCAAGATCAGTTTGATGCTTTTTTTTTAAAAATTAACGAAACTGCAGGTTTAAATCAGGTTTGCACTGTTTTAGAGTCCTAACTCACATATTCTCGAGTTTTCCACACTAGTGCTGCGACACCTGCCATGGTCACTTCAGTCGAAGGAATGCCAACGACGGCCAAGCTGCCAGCCAACAATGGAGCACCGAATGCCGACCTCGTTGCTGACCCTGATGAAGCAACAGCCAGCAGCAGCTTTTGTGCCTCTGCCGTAAAGCATGCAGGGTCCCACAGGGTCCACGAGCTGCTCACACACTGCTGCCATGCTCAGCTGATGCGGGTCTATTGGCATGGAAGGACATGGCTGCCTGTATCCCGTCGTTCTTCCCATACCTGAACCCACGCAGACAGGGCACTGAGGTCTCTACGAGCTACCCAGCCTACTTCTCCCCAACTGTCTAAAAGAGACTGTTACTTGTTTCCTCTGGCCTATAACTCCATGACAATTCAGTTTCTCAACCAGGTACAGAAATTCAGTCTTTAGTAATTTGAAGACAGTGTCATTTTACCCCTAAATATTTTAGCATCTGTCTTTTAGGAACAAAGGTATTTGCCTGCCTAGCCACAATGCCATCATCCACTGATAAATATGCAGCTCTGTATACAGCACTGTTAGGTGGTAGTCAGGACAGAGTTACTGTTAGAGCTTGATGGCTGCCTTTGGTTTTGTTTCTCATTCTTGTTAGGACAAATTCAAAAGCCAGAGTTCACATCTGATTTCTACCTGGGCTTAATCTCCTTTAGTCTAGGACAGTTTCCCACCCACTCCTTTTTGTCTTGTGTAGAAACATTGATATTATTAAAGAGTCCAAACTATTGACTTCTCAGAATGTCCTTAATTTGAATTTGTGGGCTTTTTCATAACTCATTGTTTTTGTTTTTATAAAACAAGAGCACCAATTATATTGTCTTTAGTGCATGATTAGGAAGGCGCCTGGTGTCACTGTGTTCCATCATTGTGGAACCTGGGTACTTGATTACAGAGTTGTCTAACAATTTCTCCATTATAAAGGTTTTTCCCCCTTCATTAATCAACAGATAATCTTAGGATGGACTTTGATAGTATATGGGCACCCTATTTTCCAACAACTTTCCATAACAAATTTTTGTCTGTTAGTGAAAAATCTTTAAAAGACTTACTTTATTTTGTGCACATGTGTTTATGTATGTTTATGTGCCTATTGTGTAGTGGGCCTGTGGAGGCCAGAAGAGGATTTCTGATCCCCTGGAGCTGGAGTTATGGGTGTTTGGGAACTGAACTCAGGTCCTCTGGAAGAGTGGCAGTCATTCTTAACCACTGAACCACCTCTCCAGTCCCACCGAAAATGGCAAATTTCGTGGCTATTCTCCCAATGATTTTACTTTGTATAGTTAAAAAAAAAGGGTGTGGGAAAAAAAAAGGGTGTGGGCAATTGTTGGGATAGAGAGATGGCTTGGTGGTTAAGAACACTTGTTACCTTGTTACTCTTGCAGAGGACCTGGGTTCAATTCCCAGCACCCACATGGCTTTTTGCAACCTTCTGTAATTCCTGTTCCAGGGGATCTGAAATCCTCTGGCCTTCAAGGACATAAGGCACACACATGTTGCACATATATACATGTAGGTAAGATACTCATACATCTAAACAAAATACATCCTAATTTTTATAAATAGCAATTGTTGAAAAGTAATTGCATATGCATTAAAATGCTAATACCTTCTGTGGTGATTTACAAACAAGTCACCTTAAAAATAAATGTTATTTGTGTAAGCACCCAGAGTTGTTCTTTCAAAGGGAAGGACATATAACCTGTTTTTCCAGAAGGCTGGGAATTAGAGGTGATCAATAGCCTGGTAGTCTGCATTATTTGTTGGGCCAGGCCTCTCTCACAACCATACCAGAGATGGCTAGTACCCAAGTGACCTCTACACTATCTGTATGACCGAGACCAGGCCAGATCCTTCCCTAGTCGCTTTAGCTAGTATAGGTAGCCTATCTCTAGAACCCATCTTCTTGGAAGAAATGACATGTATGTTGAGCTGAGTTTTGGTTATGCCTCCTTGTGCAATGGGGATTGTCTTATCCCAGGATATTTTTTCCAAATTATAATATGTTTAAATATGCTGGCAATAAACCTTCTGGCATCTGTTTGATCTAAGTTGACAAGTCAGCCTAAACCTAGTTTTTATTCTCACCTCTTCATGGTTCATTTTCCTATCTGCTTTGATACCTGCAGGAACCCTTCCAAAGTACATTTACATCTCCGCTACTTTATAAATACACTTAAAATGGATAGTATAGCCAGACAAAGTGATAGACACCTGCCCTTGAAAGACTGAGTATATTAGTCAGGGTTCGCTAAAGGAAAAGAACTGATAGAATGAATATATATTAAAAGGGGATTTATTAGACTGGCTTACAGGATGTGACAACATTGGTTGTCCCATGACTCAGCAGTCTCAGTTTGGTGCTGCAGGCCTGGAGGATTCCTGGAGAGCTGCTGGTTCTTAGTCTATACTGGAACCCTCAAGAAAGTAGATTTAATCCAGCAGCAACAGGATAGTCAAACTTGCCAGCAAGAGTGAGGGCAAACAAGCAAAAGTTTCCTTCTTTCATAGTCTTTTATGTGGGCTCCTACTGGAAGGTGGCCTGTCATGGGACTCAACCAAGCAACATCAACATGAACATCCTTCAAAAGAAAATGATGGGAGGAGACAACACAAAGAAAGAGTCATAGCTTATCCTAGTCTTGAGACTTCTGAAGTTCTTGGTCACAGGACCTTTGGAATCCTGCTTGACATGAGTGACCACAAGCCAACCCAACTTGCAAATGAGTACCAGTGCATTCAGTTCTTTTTAAGTTTTTATTTTGAAATGATTTCAAACTCATAGGAAAGTTGGAATACTCTTTACAGTTCCAAGAAAGCAAAAAAAAAAGCCCCCCATATATCCTTTATCTAGATTCACAATGAGAGTCAATCTTTCTTTTTTACCCCCTAGAACACTATGCAACTGAGGATGGCCTTAAACTGCTGATCCTTCTGCTTTCACCTTTTGAGAGGTAGGGTTACAGGCATGTGTTACCATACCTGGATCTAAGTATTTCGTTCTGTTTGTTTGTTGTTTCTTTCTTTCTTCATTCTTTTCTCCAAGAGTATTTAACTCTGGTGTATATTTCCTGGCATGTAGGCATCCACATACTTTCTTTTACAACAGCCTTAAAATCAAGACATTTAGCATCATAACTAGTATACAATCCATGATCAAATTTTACCAATTGTCATTGTAATATCCCATAGAACAATATTTGTTTGTATTTATTATTTTTGGCTTTTCAGAACAGGGTTTCTCTGTAGCTTTGGAGCCTGTCCTGGAACTCATTGTGTAGACCAGGCTGGCCTCACTCCCAGTGCTGGGAGTGTCCCTCAGTTTGTTTCCTTATGCCCATCTCTATGGTCTGAATATGGGTGTATTCTTGGAAAAATTTCATAGCTTGGGGTGGACATGGTGGTGCACACCTTTAATCCCAGCACCTGTGAGACAAAGGCAGATGGATCTCTGTGAGTTTGAAGTCAACCAGGAATATACAATGAGACCCTGTCTCAAAAATATTCATATTGGAACCTAACTCCCAAGATGTCAGTTCCAATTGGGGCCTACCAGGCCTAGTAGTGTGCCCTTTAATCTAGCATTTGGGAAGTAGAGACAGGAGGACCAAGATTTTAAAGTCATTCTTAGCTATATATTAAACAGGATTCTCTAGTAGAGTAGAACCGAGAGATGGGGGGGGGGAATGTAAAGAGAATTTATTAAATTGGCTTACATGATAGTGTTTGGATGTAAGCTTCACCTCAGCCCTTGGCATCCATATATCTAAAGAGTCTGGATGTTTAGTTGAAAGTGTCACCTCAGCCCTTGGCGCCCATATATCCATATGTTTGGGTGGAAGTTCCATCCCAACCCCCTTCCCCTGGGAGTTGCTTCAGTCCAGACTCCACCTCTGAGAAAGCCTGCCAAATGATGACCCCTCCCCACTCTGACAGGGTATTTAAACCACCCCCCAGAGAACAAACATGTGGTTTTCTGGTCTTCCTTTCCCATCTCTTTGGGGGGCTGGAAGGCCACCCAGGAGTAATGGTATTCGTTAAACCTGGGCTTTTTCTAATTCACTTTGATTTGGTCTGATTCAGATTATTGAATCGGCGGAGAGGTTTATTGGGGCACAAAAACCTTTCATCTGGCGGTCCCACCGAGAAGGCTGTTTTTCCCATTGACACAGAGCCACAGGTTGGGAAAATATCCTCCCTTGTACCTGCTCTCCGTCAGGCTAAGATCAGCTTCCTCTGGGTAAGTTCCAATTTCCTTCAGAGGCCCAGGGCATCATACAATTTTCAGGCTGTCCTGTTGAAGACATGGCCATACCAGGTGCCCGACCTGACTAGAACAAGGGCCTGCCTTGTCCCTGTGGGATTCCTTTATCAGATGTCCTGTTAAGGTTATTTCTCATACCCCTCTGTTTTTTGACCCAAAACCTACCACAGTGAATGCATTGCGTTAGGCTTTGGGTTTGGCATAGACTTGTGAAACGGGTACCTAGAATTTGAGGCCTGATTCTCAAATGCCCTTGGGCTGCCTTTTACAAAATCTTTTTAAGATAGGCGCTATCTGACACCATATGTCCTTAACACCTCAGTTTTTTACCAGCATGTAAACAAGTAAATAAGCCCCCATATGCCCATGGTTTCTGGATGCTGTGCCCCCCCAAACCCCTTCCCTGCTTCTCTCACTGCTTGCTGTCTGCATTCCTGGCATGTGATCTGGTCATGCTGGGATTCTCCCATTCCCCCTGCCCTCACACTCTAAGCTGCATAGGTGTTCCATTCTTAGTTTCTGTTCTCCCTCACAGATCTGTTGATTTGGCCCTCAATGGGACCACCTGTGTGCTTGCTGGCTTCTGCAGCCTACACCAGGATTTTAAGTTGCTCAGCTGACTACAGTTTCCTGGGAAAAGTTTTGTCTATCTGTTAATATATATGTATAAATAATGTGGCCACAGTATTCTTGTTTTATGTCTGTGTGTGTATGTTTGTTTTAAAATCTGTAAAACTTGTAACTCTAGATTACAACAGCTCTGGAAAAAGACAAACATGGATAGCTGCCTTTTTGGTTGAGGTCAAAGTAAAAACCTCAGCGCCATCTTTGCTAAGAGTACCCACATTGCTGGCCCTACCAAGGAGACATTCTGGCTCCAGTATATTTTGACTTACTAAAATATTCCTTCTAATCTTCTTGCCTTCACTGACACTGATAAGCTGTAACTGATTTGGGTAAGCTATATGTCTAAATTTAATTTATATGTCTAATTTAGATATACCTAGCAGGTAATGGTACCCTGATTCTCAAGTGCCTATACAGATCTGAGAGTATGGGATTTAACAACAGAGAGACATACTAGCTCCTACAGCATCCTATAGCTCCTCCAAGACGGTGCATGGTTGCAGAAGACCTTCTGCTTAGAGGCTTACCTTTGAATATGGCTGCCTTTCACCTCTTCAACTTCCTGGACAGTACACGGATGGGGGGGGGATCGATTATCTCACCCTGCCAAGACAGGTAAACTGAGCCCTACCCCCACAGGAAAATCTGTCAAGTCTCCGGGGCTTAGCAGCTAAAGGCAAGTACTTCTTCTAAGACTGGTGTTCACCAAGGACCACAGAGAGACTTGGGATTGTCTGGGTAGCTGGAAAAGCTGTCTCACTTCTACTCATTTATTTATCCCTCTCAGATCTGTCTGAGGGCATCTGATGACTTACGGTACTGGTAACTATTTACTTTATTAGTTAAGTTTCCTATAAAAAAAAATACAGACAGGTGTGCCTCTTTCACAGACTTCATAGTCCAGGATTAACAGGTTTCAGGTGTATCTTCAGAGGTTCAGAGTTTCCAATTTCCTTTAATTGTCTTCTAAAGTGTTCATGCCTTTTAACCTAAAGCCATAGACTTTTGCTATGACTCCAAGATGTAAATCTGTCCCAATTGTCTTACAGATACCTGCAGGTTTTGTTTTTTTTTTTTAAAAAAAAAAAAAGTCCTGCTGTATCAAGAAATCAGGTCTGGTAAAAACAAACTCCAGAGCCTATTTTAACCCCACCCATTTTCAAGCATATTTTGCAGGCCACTCCTGCTGTCTGGGCCAAGACCAACTTACATAGGGCCTTCTAGACAGTGCCAGCACCAGCCTGCTTCTGGACTTCACCATTGGTGCCACCTCTCCTGGCTCAAATGGGCACCCACCCAGCAACTGAAATCTGGTTTTAAAGGGCACATCTGCTCTCATCTCACTTATTCACCTGAGCCTCTCCTGTACAACCAGGGCACTTCTCTGTCTCATTCTTTCTGGCAGTTAATCACCCTTCCCGTGGCTAGCCCTTTCATAGGGCCAGTGGTAACAATCTATTTTTTCTCCTAGCCACTTGCCTTCTCATCTTCCTTAAGGAACAGATGCCTGAGGTCTCCAGGATGTCAGTTAACTGGATGCTTCTCCAGTCACACCTTCTGCTGAGTGTGAGCCCACCAACTCCCAACTCTACCCTCTTCCACGTTGCCCCATGCCTGCAGGAAGTAAACAGACTTGGGCTGGCGCCCCTATACCCAAAGAGTCTGGGATGTTTGGGTCGAAAGTTCCATCCCAAGCCCTTCCCCCTGAGAGCTGCCTCAGTCTAGACTCCACCTCCAAGGAAGCCTGCCAAACATTGAGCCCTTCCCAGAGATGCTCAAGACTGCTACAACAGGGTATTTAAACTGCCTCCCCAGAGAACATACATGGTTTTCCAATCTTTCTTCCCCTGCTCCTCTCTGGGGGACTGGAAGGCCACACAGGAGCAATGGTATCCATTAAACCTGGACTTTCTCTAATTCAGTTTGATTTGGCCTGATTATTGCGTTGGCGGTGAGGTTTATTGGGGCACAAAAACTTTTCAGGATGGTCTGGGTAGTCCAGCAGTGGCTGTGTTCACACAGAAGAGAGTCTAGAAAGCCGGCAGCTGCTCCATTCAGGAAGCTAGATGGCTAAACAGTTCCAGTCTGGCCTGGAGGATACCTTGAGAGCTTCTGGTCTTCAGTTCATGTTAGAAGGCTGAAGAAACTAGGCTCTGCTATCACTGGCGGATGGTGGCAGTGTGGCGGTGCTGTCGGCAGCAGCACTCAACAGCAAAGGCAAGCAGGCAAAACGCCAAAGATTTTTCCCTCCAACCTCTTTATGTCTGGGCCACTGGAAAGTGCTGCCCGTATTGAAGGTGGGTCCTTCCACTTCCGCTAACCTAATCAAAATTGCTCACAAGCCTGCCAGAGGCTTGGCTCATGGGGAATTCTTAGAAGCAGAGAAACCTCGCCAAATGCTGAATTTCCCAAATGCTTAAATTTTAGACCTTGCTTCCAGAACTGCGAGGAATATATTTCTGTTATTTAAAAATTACCCAGGCTAAGGAATTTCATTATAGCATCTCAAACTGACTATGACAGCTATCTTGAGGGTGTTCATTTTTGGCAGGCACACAATAGAAGAGATGTTGTACCTCCAGGGCATTGTATTAGGAGCATGCGGTCTCTGGCTCTTTATGATGTTACGGTTGTGGTTGCCAGCTTTCTCTCCTGGAAAGTCAGGGGTTCCCCCTTTGCAATTAATAAGTAATTTGTGGGAAGATACTTTGTAAATGTCTCCTCATTAAATATTTAACCCTTGAGTGCTACCATCTCTTGATGAATCTTCCTAGAATCAAGCATTATAATGACAACATTTTACTTTCTAAGAGTTTTCCTCTCCTAATTTCAAACACTAACCATCAGAAATGTATTTCACTAAATTTGCCCTGGAATGCTGGCTAAGGGTTTTGTTTGTTTGTTTGTTTGGGGGGGGGTGTTGTTGTTTTTAAAACATGGAACTGTTTCTGAATTGTGACTTTATAAAAAATGGGACATTTAAGATTTGAGTATTTTAGGAAACATCTGTTTTGCCATCTTCCATGCTGAGTTCCTTGGAATATTAGCTCATCGTTTCTACCAAAGGGAATAAATAGCATTGTGCCTCATGAGGCTGGATGAATAAAACAATAGGCTGTTATATTGGCTCTGCTATTTTCAGTCAGTACTAAAAGCAATTTTCAAGCCATCTGTGGCCCTTATTCGAATCTCTCATTCTTTACTGTTTCTCTCAGGTGTGTACAGTGGCCAAAGGTGGGACCCTCCTCTCACATCCGCCAGGAGCTATAGGATGACGATGTTAGTTTGGTGTTTTGTGTCTCAGTTTGCCCCAGCTGTCCAGTGCCCCTTTGTATGGTCGCCTAGCCAGGGTCCCTCAGTATAAATGACAAAAGATCAGTTGTGCCCCGCCTCTGTGGAACCACTGCCTCCTGTTAATATCTTGCATTTATCACCGTTACCTTTTGCACAGGCCCACAGCCCCCTGGCCCTCAGGTCAACTGTGAGCCCAGCAGATGCTGCAGTTTTTCTTCACTTCCTTTCTGCTCAGGGCCCACTTTGGAGGGTCCTGTTGCAGGGGAGGGCCACATTTATCGCTCACCACTGGTCCCAGCTGGGCCTAAGACTTCAGTTGGCATGAGAGAGCGAGTAACAGGAGAAAAGCATACGAACTTAATAAGAGATTTACATGACCAAGGAGGTGGCAGGACCAATGTATTAGGTTGGACAAAGAGAGGCAGTTGTAGAAAGTCAGTCATTGGGAGATCTGTGTGCACAGAATTCTCTCCACTAAAAATTGTTTCTCTTGCTATGCAGAGGGCATGTTTATATGAGGAAGTTCATCTGTTTTTCTGAAGAAATGAATCTGCTGTGTGCTGGGTGCCTCTGTGGCTCAGTGGCACATTTTGGGGTGACATATTCACTGTTATAGAGGTAGATTAGTGCTCACTCCTAACACCTACTCTTTGCATCAGAAATAAAAGCTTAACTTTCCCCCGCGAGATGACCAACTATTTTACATCTCAGGAAGATACATACGAACAGAATTTTGACTTTAAAAAAGTTTTCATGGGTACTGGGGATGGAACCAAAGGGTTGCACTTGCTAGGCAAACACTCTCCACCCTAAAACTTTTTCTTTAAAAAAATATGTTATGTAATGGGAACAGGAAGGATCAGATGGGGGAAAGATGGAGGGAGAGTGTAGGAGAGACAAGTGGTACCTGGAGGGCATCTTGGGGAGTAGTTAGAAACCTAGGGCAATAGAAACTCCCAGAAATCTATGAGAGTGACCCTAGCTAAGACCTCTAGCAAAGGGGGATCTGGAGCCTGAACTAGCCATCTCCTGTAACCAGGCAAGTCTTCCAGTGGAGGGACGGGGACACAGGACCCAGCTATAAAACCTTTGACGTACAGTTTGTTCTGCCTACAGAATGTACTGGGGTAAAGATGGCAGAGAAATTGTGGGTGATCAACCAATGTCTGGCCCAGCTTGAGACCCACAGCATGAGAGGAGCTCACCTCTGAGAGCCAGGACCCAGAGGAGGGAGAGCCCAGAGACCCAGGAAAGAACCAAACACAACTGGCAAATTTTTTTAAATCAATGAAATGACTCCTAATGATATTCTTCTATACTCATAGATTGGTGCCTAGCCCGTCATCAGAGAGGCTTCATCCAGCAACTAATGGGAGCAGATGCAGAGACCCACAGCCAAACATTAGGTGGAGGTCAGGGAATCCTGTGGAAGAGGAGGAGGAAGGATTGTAGCAGCCATGGGGGTCAAGGGCACCACAAGAAAATCCATAGAACCAACTATCCAGGGCTCATAGGAGCTTACAGAACCTGAACAGACAACCAGAGAGCCTGCGTGGGACTGACCTAGGCCCTCTGTACATATGTTACAGTGATGGAACTTGATCTTCTTGTGGGACTCCTAACAGTAGAAGCAGGTGCTGTCTCTGACTCTGTCACCTGCTTTTGGGACCCTTCTACCAGATTGCCTTGTCCAGCCATAATACAAGAGGAGGTGCCTAGTCTCACTGCAACTTGATATACCGTGGCTGGCTGATATTCATAGGAAGCCTGCCTGTATCTGAGGAGAAACAGGAGGAGGAGTGGATGGGAGGACGGATGGAGAGGAGAGGAGGGGAGGGGAAGGAAGGGGAGGAGAGGAGAAGAGAGGAGAGGAGAAGAGAAGCATTGATTGGGATGTAAAAAGAAACAAATAAATATTCTATGAATTCATAGAATATTTAATTAACTAGGCTGGGAAAATAGCCCAGTTAATAAAGTACTTGCCTTGGAAGCATAGGGACCTGAGCAAGAGCCACAGAACTCACATCAAAAGCCAAGTGTGCGCTGCCAAGTGCACACTCAGCATTTAAGAGCATGTTCTCCAACTGGTGTGGTGGTACACACCGTTAATCCCAGTACTGGGGAGGCAGAGGCAGGTGGAGCTCTGCACAGTTGATCTCAGCTCCTACTGGAAGACCCAGGGAAATCTGGAATTTTGCTCCGGAGGACCCACAGATATTCTTAGGAGTCTAAGACAGAAGGATTGTAAGTTTGAAGCCAGCCTCAGCTATATACCTTATCTTAAAAGGAAATAAAAGAGTACAGAACTTTCTGACTCTTTCTGGGCATTCAAGATGTTGAAGCTAGGACTTGGTGGGTCCTTCAGAGCAAAATTCCTTAGGAGCTGTGATCAACTGTGCTGACAATACAGGAGTCAAAATTTTGTATATTGTCTCTGAGAAGGGAGTCAGCAGACGACTGAGCAGACTTCCGGCTGCTTGTGTGGGCAGCATGGTGACGGCCACAGTTAAGAAAGGCAAACCAGAACTAAGAAAAAGGTCCATCCAGCCATGGTAATTCGACAACGAAAGTCATATGGAAGGAAAAGATGGGTGTTTTTCTATGTTGAAGACAATGCAGAGGCCATAGTAGACAATAAAGGTGAGATGAAAGGGTCTGCTATCACAGGTCCAGTTGGAAAGGAGCATACAGACTTGTGGTCCAGGACTGCAGTGACTGCAGGCAGCACTGCATGACACTCCAACGTGTTTGTAAAATAGATTCATTAAAAAGGCTTTG